CATTCCCAATTCTCTCCTCAGCCAAGCTGTGATAAAATGCAGCACATCCTGACGTATTATCCAGCTTGGTTTTGAAGAACCTTGCCAGAAATTGCACAGTCTGCATCACATGGTATATTATGAGCTGTTTCCTTGGTGCACCTCTACTGGCAAACATCAGTGCATCCTTTTTGGCTGCTTAATTTGCAGTCACAACTTTTACATATTGGGCCATTTTCAATATATTAATTTGTTTCAATACCTGCACCTGTCTGATCTGTGGGTGCAGATGAGGCTCATCTCAAGCTTGTGCTCCATGTTCTTCACGGGTTCAAAATGGGTGATGGCACTAACAGGAGAAACACTGTGGGATTATGCAAAATACTGGCCAAGTCTTGCTCACTTTAGCAGTCTTCATGAAGACCAGAAAGATTTGGTCCAAAAGCATCAGATAAGAGGATCAAAACCTGCTACTGACTATTAAAGCAGAGAAACATATTTTTCTATTAGCCCACTTGAAGATTTATAAGATATTAAGGAATATTAAGAAGAAGAAAAAGAAGAAAAGCTAAATGGGCCAAAAGAAAACAAAAGAAACATATTCTCCCGAGATTGCTAATGCTGGCAGACAATAGCACAGAAAGAACTCCTCTGACAGGTCTTTGAAGTCTTCAATACAGCAAGCTAGTGGGCCATGTTAATGAGATTTGCTCAGATACTTCTTAAATTATCCCAAAATGTCTTAATCTATTTTCTACATCTTCTTGACCTGATTGCTTCAGGGAAGTTACAGCTTCACATGTCTAGACTGAACTTTTCATTCAAACAGGTATGGTCTTCAAACACTTTATGTTTCCAATGACCCCCACACAGACTTTTTAGGGTTTACCCCAAAACATGCAGGTAATGTTGTAATTTCTGTTACTAATGAATACAGAAACACTTTGCACCACACTGTATCTTTGAACCTTAAGAGAAGGTGTGACCTTAAGACCTTCCAGTAACTCAAAGTTCTTAACAATTAAGATATTACAACTTCTCCAAAAAATCCAAAAGTAAATAAATCCAGTTTTAGATGAGGCCTAACAGACACTGATCACTCCAGCTACAGGACTACCACCCCAGCAGCAAGGGAGCAGCAGGGATCAATGGGGTCAGTTTTCCCAGTCCCTGTTTCCTGCTGAGGGTGACACAAGCTCTCCTGGAAAATGCTTCCAGTGTAATTTGGGCCCATTGCAGAGAAAACACTGGAGCAAATGTCCAAGAACCAGGTTGTCTGTTCTGTCACAGAACTCCTTGTGACTGCACTCCAGTCCATATTCAGGACCCATATTCAGAAGTAGCTGCACACCACATGTTCTAGGAACAGGAGTTGTTTCTGCTCCCTAATATGCTTTAAGACCTTTAGGTCAAAAGCAGGAAGAATCAAGGTGCCAAATTCAATAAGGAAAACATCATCCTACCAACTCCCCACTGCCTGATGTGCAAAACACTCCTGCCACCCAAGCCAGTACAGAAAATAGGACTAAGGACATCACCAGCACACCTTCTGGAAGTCACCAGCAAGGAAGAGCACTGGGGAGAACTTGCACACACTGCTGAGCCTTTCATAAACAGAAATGTGTCTGAAAGAGTCTGTTTCAGGGTTTTCACTTTTGCTTGCAATGGCCAGCAAAGACATGGCACAGTGACTTCACAACCTGTTTTGAGAACCATTTCTCTTCCTGATAAAACAAAGTTGAAAAAAAAGTTTTCTGGTCCACTTTTTTTTTTCCACATATCATTTTTTGCATTGAGCTTAGGAGAAAAAGTCCTCCTGACCTTTTTCCTGGCTTGAAGGGAAGGGAGGAGAAAGTATACCTATATAAGAAGGTTATAGCTCAAACCCACAGATTTATCTGTTGATCGTCTCATTCAGCTCTGAGTTTCAGCAGGTAGCTTCTGATTTATTATCAATATTTAATCAGCATTTAACTCTGACAAGCATTAAGATTTGAAATTTTAAACTAAGTGCAACTTTGCTAAATCCTTTGTGTTGATTTTTTGCTGTTAAAGGTTTTCTAAAGGATTCTATCTTTGCTATCTTAAAAGTCTACACGTGCCTTTTGTTATCAATAATGTACAATTTTAGTAGCATGTTTTGTACTTTTCAAATTTTCAGCATGCAAGTTATCCCTGATTTACAATGCTCACAGAATGCCCTTTGATTATTGAAAATGCTTTTACTACATTTAAACAAATGACTGCTCCAGGAAAACTAAAAAACTAACACTATTGCCCATAATTCTATAAAAATACATTTCCTTTCCCTTCTCCCCAAATCAAACATTTTGAATTTTTACTGTGAGGAAAAACAGGCATATAGTTAGGCATTATGCCTAGCAGTGCTAAATAAAAGAGAATGTAAACATCTTAATTCTGAAGGTTTATCCGTCAAAGACCCTTGTTGTATCTCTTCTGTTATTTGTGCTTCTGTTCAGAGCTCCTTGGAGCTCACAGGCAAAAAAAAAAAAAAATTAAAAAAAAAAAGAGAAAGAGAAAGCAAACAAACCACGCAGAATAAAAATCTATTTTGCCAGCTCTGAGCTGCCTCCCATCCCGCGTGCCCGAGGCCAGGCTCGCGCAGGGCTGGGACGCCCGGGGCCACGCGGCTGCTCCTCAAGGAGCAGAGTCCTGCTCTGCAACTGCTCTGAGCAGCTTAACCGCTAACTCAGGAGATGGGATTTCACCTGAAATTAAGCTATCAAGCAATTGAGCTCAAACTCAATCAACCAAACCCTTAACCTTCCCTGTTTCAGTGGCACTGCTCTAATTAGGACTCTATCACTATTTCCATTACTATCTCCTATTCTCATGGTTTATTATCTCAGTGGTTTCAATTCTCACCCAGTTTAAATTTGACATCCAGTTTCTTGGGCCACATATCATTCATTATGGCTTTTTTTAAATGAAATATGTTGCAAGAACAATCCTGCAATAAATAGTTTTTTGTTGAAAACTGCACCCCTCACTGCAGTAGAAGAAGGACAGAGCCAAACCTTTGAGAAACAATCCTGATGTTAAGGAGATGTTGAACAGCTTGTTTTCCATTGAGTTTTAAATTTTGGTTAACAGTTTGAAAACATATCCTTGAACACAGATCCATCTGCACACACCACTGCTGCCCCATGCTTCTCCAGTCCTCAGTGTCTTCCCCCTGAGCCTGGATGAGCTTCTAGGAAACAGAGTTTGGCTGAACTCTGCTTCCCAGCTCTGCTCAGAGGTGAGAATCAATAACCTACAATACACAGGAGATCAGGCTGAAAAATCTAATGGTCTTTTCCAGTGAATCACCCAAACTGCTTTCTGCTGAAGGATGAGTGACAGAGGGGATGGGTGCCTGAGTGATGCACTGATGGTAGTAGTACAAAATAGATCTGCTTTTAGAGACACAGCCTACAAGCTTCAGGGAGTCTAAAGGTAGTGTCCTGCATTTAACACCACCAAAATTCTGATTTTTCCCAGATCACACAGGACACAGCCACACATGAGCCAGGAACAAGAGACCCATTAATTACGAGGCCCTCTGATGCACCTGGGACTTCAAATTCTTCCCTTCTTCACAAAAACTCAAAGGAGGAACAACACTGCAGAGCAAGGAAGCACTAGCTCCTTAAACTGCAGGATCTGCTTCTTCTCCAGTAGCTGAAATACATCTAATACTTCATGGGCTCCACCATAAAAAAACAAACCAGTAAGATTAAAATCTTGAAGAGAGGGGTATATCATATAGCTGACATACACCACTGGCATGGCCAAAGATTGCAATATTCACTTGAACTCCATGAATTTCATCCTAACTAAATAGATATTTTTGGCAACAAAGAACTGAAAAAAAAAAAAATCCCAGATTGTCCTCAGATCTATTTTAATTTAAAACAGAAGAGAACAGGGACATTTTTTCCCCCTTCAAGTACATTTTAATAAAATTAAAAATAAAAATAGCTCCAATTCACTCCAATGCATTTAGTCATTCCGTAAAATTCTAAGTTTAAAATGAAATCACCATTTTATATTCAAACAAGGTCAAGAGAACAGCACTAACGAGCACTGACATCACAGTGAACAGCAGCCACTGCTCAGCGCTTACATCAGTGTTGCTTGTTGCTATGGTGCTTAACCGACTATTAATTTCTGAAAGAAGGTGATTATAAAGCAGCCATATGAACCTCAGTCAGATGACACCCTTCAGTACCAAACACTGATCTGCGTTACTCTTCTCCTCTGCAAGTTAATTTTGTGAATCACCACTTTTGTGATGTTAATATTCCTTCCCAACTTGAAACTTTGGACCAGATGAGAGGCAAGGAGTTAATTTAGAAGCAAAGGACTTTCACGCTGCTTTAAATAAAAATCATTTTGCAGAGAGTGATATTTCTTTCCTTTTTGCTGTGCTCCAAAGACTAAAAAGCATGTGTTTTAACTTTTGCAGTGACAATAAGCAATCAAATTAACAGCTAAATTTTGCTCTCCTGATCTGCTTGACGTGCTGCTGGAAACCCAGAGTGCCTCAGCCTGGGATGAAACAGCACTGAAGCTGACTTGACCGCTCTCCAGGGATTTGCCTCAGTAAAGGGACCCTGCCACAGGCTGTGCCACTGCATCTCCCAGCCCAGCAGCCATGGACCAAGGAGCTGCCCCAAAGACCAGCCAGAGCAGGGTCTTCCCATTCCCACACAGGCTCTGCCCAGTTACCAAACAGCCTTCTCGGAACGTGGCTTAAAGACAAAAAGTGCATCTTTTTGGCCTTGCTTCTCAAATGCAACTGAATACCTAAACCAGCGGTTTCCCAGGCAAAGTATGTATTTTTAGGGCACAGCATTTTCTCCAAAAGCTCCAAGCCCAATGCTGCAAACTTTATCCATTTTGCCAGAAAAGCCTTTACTTGTGCAGCTAAGGTAAGGTCCTAGGGCTTGCATGATCAAATCATTTGTTCAGACATACTTCAAAAATAGTGTGAAAGACATTATATTTGTATTTACCTTCTTCAGTTGCTCCTGTAAAGCAATCTTCAGTTACAGCCACCCAAAAAGGTCACTCTTCTTACTCTGCAGAGAAAAGAGGTAACACATGTGACTCTGGGTCAGTGTCAGCAACAACACCCAAAGCATTTTCATTGGCACCACATTTACAAGTACAAACATAAATAAAGCAACAAATGAATCTAATCGTGTTTAATGGTGAATGACTTTCAGAGAGAGTTAATAAAAACAATCAAGTCACAGGACTGCTGCTTATCAGTACCAGCTAGTGTGAGGTTCTTCAGTTCAGCACAAACAACTTGGTCTTTGGTAGAAGAAAAGGAGAAGCAAAAAACCCCATGGAGATGAGACATCTTTGTTCTCTAACAAACTTTCTTAATCTTGATGTCTATCAATCTATTTTCAGTTGGAATAATAAATGAGTTCAGTTCTTTGTTTCAGAAATCTGACTATTGTCTGCATGGATTCTCCTTACTTAAGGCATTTTAAGACCATTTGTAACCGCTGCTATTTTATCTTCTGGATCCTTTCATTTTTCTCATCCTTTTCCATAGAGACAAAGTCCTAGATGAGATTTTAGAACTAGCTGCATCTTCCAAATTCAGAAAGTTGTTTACTGTCTTGGGATATCTTCTCATTAAGCATTACCAAGAGCACGCCAAGGTGGTGAGAGCAGTGGGTATTAAAAGGAGGAATAATTAAAGTGTATCTTTATAAAAAGTAGGAGGGAGAAAACAGCACGTGTAGGTTTTTTTTACCCTGTATATTACTGCATCTTGTGTACTCTGTCTTATGCAAAAGAGTATGTAATCTTTTAAGAAACATGACAATCTGCCACTTTCTGTTCATGTAATTGGGATCAACATATGGTACTAGAGAAAAGAAAAACATTTGTTTATTAATTTAGATCAAGTTACTAACTCAAACCACTAACAGCATTCAGAATTAATTCCACATCAATTGACCAAATACCTTAACAGAGTAAAATTATAACATAATTTCACTGAAATGCTGATCTTCTGCCGCAGAGGTACAGAGTACTATGTAATACAGACAGAAGGAAATATGTGATAATTTGGTGACACCGATGACTTCATACGAAATGGAAAGTCAGTGACATGTGGATGTGTAAGACAGAGCTATGTGAAACTCCATTTCATAAAATTCACACAGTGATGTGGAGTTTTGGGGGTGTTTGTGAAACTCACCAAATGGTAAGCTGTGCTATTTACATCACTAGGTGAAGCTTTTTACTGGAGCAGTAAAATAACAACCTCTGGGGAAAAAATCAGAATCTTCACTAAGTTCACTCAAAAGAATATGAACTCATTCACTATTTATTTTGGAAGGAAAAATATTTCACAATGAGAATGAGGCATTACTTCTTTACCATTGAAACCTGATTATTTTCAGCTGGGAGAAAAAAAGGTTACCCTGATATGAAATCAATATTGGTTTTATCTGTTGCTCACCGGCACTTTATTTCATTTTTATTTTTTATGTTTTGTGTGAGAAGCTCTTCACAGTTCTTGTACTGCCAGTACCAGAACATCAGGGGCCAAAATTTGAGCATGTTTGCTGTATAGGAAGCCTGTGTTCCTTGCTGAGGTACACATATAAGACATTCCTGATTCTGCACTGTAAAGGACATAACACTACTCCATCATAATAGGTCAGGGCTCACCTTCCTGAGAGTATGTAAAACAATACATCTTTTATGTAAAATACATGACCTCCGACATGTGATGTGCTCTTAGATTAGCAACAATAAAGGCTTTTATCCTGCTTTGCTGCAGGGGTTATCTTGGGTTTGACACTTTAAACCTCTTTTCATATTTATCTGTTTTATAAATTTTCTGGGTATTTGGCAGTCAGATCTTTATTTTGGCAGTATTTTGGCAAGCAGGCTTCATTTCTACCCTGAGTCTTCACGATAGCAAATGAACCATCTTAAAATGTACTTTTTAAGGAAGCTGCTGAAAATTACATGTTTGCATAAAATGTGCATTCAGTATCTCTTTGGGCAGTGCTGAAAAAGGCAGGTATCATTTTCTAAACACATTTGTCTTGCATGAACCACACTCCAAGGAAATCCGGTTCAACCATCAGCTGGTGGGAGACCAACAGGGTCTATAGGGGGCTGAGGAGTCAGCTCTCCTCACAAATTACTCCCTGATTGAAATCCTTTAATTTCTGGTTATCAAACTCCTGCTATATGTTACCTGGCTTTCAAAAATATGGAAAATGCACGAGTAAAGTTAAAATGAGCAGCAGAAACAGCTGTTCCCACCTGTGAAAATTTCTCATTAATAGTCTAAAAGTTGAGTATCTCAAAATGTAGAAACACAAATACAGACTTTCCTCCTGAAACTGTTTATATGGGTGAGCAAATTGATGTAGGCAACACACATTCCTTCCATCATGCTGTCTTTAAGATAAACACAAAGTACCATCAACACTGTAAGTGTGTGTGTGGAGCAAACAAAGAAAAAAATCCCATCCTACCAAAGCAAGACATTTTGCTACACTCATATTTTCCCCCAAAGGAGATGATTAAAATAGAAACCAAACCACAAATAAAAATCCACTTTGCAAGCAAGCAGCAGTGGTCCTGCTGCCTGGTGAGCAGAGAGAAGGTCTCAAAGCACCCTCAACGCCACCTCCAAGCCTCAACTGATCCCCCGCATGAAGAGCCCACGCAAAACTCTGTGCCCTGGTCAGATTTTACCAGATAGTCCTGAAAATGTCAGGTTTGTTCACCACGTGCCTCAGTTTACCCACTAGTGAGACAGGTAATTGTAACAGAGTTTGAAATCCTTGGATATAAAGATACTTTTTAAAAGAGTATTTGGGGCACGATTTTGCAAAGACAACAATAATCTCAACCAGCACCTCTTCCAACAGAAAGGATCCTGTCCTGGATCAAGCCCTACTTATTCCCCTGGCACCAAGGGACCGGGCAAAGATCAGAAGCTTTGCCATTACACCTGCTGTTGGGCTGGACCTTGCAACTCTTCTGATCCCACAACATTTATTTGATTTAGCAATCTCCTCCTCCAGGGCAGCGAGGCCATTCCAGGGAGGCTGCAGGATGGAGCCCTAACTCCAAGGGATCACCGCAAAGCCAAAATTGACTAATAATACAGAGAACACTCAGAAACAGAGACCATTGCAGAATGAAAGTCTACTTGAAACTCTAACATTTTTACTAATATCTAAATGAGAACAGCCTTGGGTATAGCCAAAAATAGATTAACGAGGACCTTGATCCCACACAAACTGGCTCTGAGTAATTTTACACAGGAAAGTAGAACACTAGTTGAGCTGCTCCTCTGCTCAGAATTATGCATGTACATTTTTTTTCGTCAGTGTCCCAGCCCTCAGAAGCCTACAATTTATTACAGGAAACCTAAAGCAATGAAGGAATCTCCCGTTCACTACCTAGAAAGCACACTTTAAAAAAAAAAAAAATTAAAAAAGATAAAACAGATACATACACCTGATAGCACAAGAAAGAAAATGGGTTTGAAATTATATTTTGATTTATTTTTCTTATATAAGACCAGCTGAAATGTATTTAATGTGTCTGATTAAAATATTTACTAAAAAGCTTCCTGAAAGTTTTAAAATACCAAAACCTGATCACCAAAATAAGCACTTCTGTGCAGTAATTTCTTCTAAATAAAGTGAACTGTAACCACCTAATACAGCTGTTCTTTCCCCTCAAAAGTCCCCGAGTCACATTCAAGTGCACACAGGCTGAAATATGAAATATGTACTGTTTATAAAATGTCCTATTCTTATAATCATTATTTTCTCATCCTATGCAGGAAAAGACACAATCTGTGATTTTATCAACTGCATATTTGTAATAGAAAAACAAAAATATTTTTATTTGCTATTTTGCTGGTTCTGAAAATACAGAATGTACACTGATTGAAGAGAAAACATCTGGTACCAGGCACTCATGGGCCAGTCCTGCACACAGGTGATTTTCTCACCCAGTACACTCAATTTGGTTACTTGCACTAACACAAATAATGTGTAGAACTGTTTTGAGTACGGTCAGTAGTTGTCTCTTCAGTTTTGTTGTACCTATTTTATTTTTAAAGAGCTATCTAGCAAGCTGAAAAAAAAATACATTAAACTAAATACTTCGAACCTGGGAGAGAATTTTTTTTTCTGACCACTGTCAAGCTGGCCACTTTATTGTGCAGCAAATATAAAATGTCAGGAGGCATGAGGCATGGCACAGGAGATTTTCTATACCAGGAGTCCTTACCACCTCCTCAGAAAGTGAAATGCAGGTGAGCAGTGAAACTGTGAGAGACTAAGTGCACTTCTTCCACCTCTCTTTGAAGAGGGGGAAGTGGATTTGGTACAGGCCAAAACACAGGGATATCAATGCTCACTACCTTGCTGCTTCTCAGTGGAAGGAGGGAGCAAATCATACTCTATTTTCCTTTTCAGTCAATAGCAGGCTGTTCAGAATCTCTGGCTGGTGCTTATTATTTATTCCAAATAGAAATAAAATAAAATTAAAATAAATAACAGCACGAGGACAAAGCTATGCGCAGCACATTCGCTCTTTCAAAATAATATTACCTTTCAAGTCCACCGTAACCTTGGAAAAGAAAAACTCGGCGTAAGCCAAATCTACAAAACTAATCACGATCCGTTCCTCCCCCGCTTTTTAACAGCTCTTGCAGGGAACACACGGGTGCAGCTCGCAGGCAAGTTGGGAACAGCTCGCTTCCAACACGGGATCTGCACCGCGATCGCTCAGTCCCGCATCTCTGACTGATGGATTCTCTTGTGTGACAGCGCTGGCCCTCACCGGCTCCATCCCGGGCGAAGGGACCGCGCCCCGGGAGCCAGCCCGGCTGCCAGGTGAGGAGAGGCCATCCCCGAGCCATGCCCCATCTCCCCGGGCAGATCCCACCTCCCCGAGCCAGGGCCACCATCTCCCGCAGCCAGAGCCAGCCAGCAAACGCCGCCGCCTGGCTCCTATCGCCAGATCTTCCCCGTTTCTTAAAATACCTCGCCGTGCCTCAGCACCGGCCTTA